CCCCCCCCCGCCCAATGAGAGATCTTTGCCCTCCTGGAAATGGGGAAATGGTGATTTGAGGCAAAGAGGCCCTTCCATCTCCTCAGAGACAACTTTGACTAAATCCAATTTTTTTTTTTTAACCCAAATATATGGCCTCCTTTGATCCGGTCAGAGGTTGGCAGCTGAACCTGAAAATATGAGCCTAAAGACTCGGTAACATTATGACTAACCTTTTTATATTCCTCTAATGCAGATAACCCAAGTCCCACTGAATGTGCCTTATAAGACATCCTACACAGCACAGCGAGTGTGGCACCAGTGATCAGTACATGCAGCACTGCGCCCATGAAGTGGGTAGTCTTAATAGCACCGTGACATCACAATATAGAAAAGCTACCCTGTACCGACTCTGCTTTCTGACCAAAGAAATGACAAAGTATTAAGTTCTATAAAGCTCTTCCCTGAACGAGGGAACTAGTCCCCTAATCATAATAATCGACCCACTTATTCTCTATTTATAAGGCCATTTGAAGTAATTAAAAAGTTTTAATTAAATGTTGCGAAAAGACAAGTGAAAAACGGTACTATCAAGAAGAAAATTCGCAGACAAAATCAGTTTTTCTTTCATTTGAATAAGAAAAAATAGAATCAAGGAAATTTAGCAATAAAAGCGCACGTAATTAACGCCAATCCCGACAACAGTGTACTATGGACCTGGAAAAGAGAAAAGCTGCAAGTCTCAGGTCCACTGTTTTCATGCCTCCTCTAACCAGTGAACTTCAGCAGGAACAGACCTTCCGGGGCCGAGAGCCTGGCGGAAGGTCGCGGGCACCTGTGCGCAGGTGCGGAGGCCTGGGCGCAGACGGGGGCCCGCAGGAGAAGCCGCGCAGCTTCGGCCCACGGCCGGGCCCTCCCGCCGCCGAGACTCGCAGCTCGGGTCCCTGCGGAGCCAACTCTGGGCCGAAGGGACCACAGGGTAGTGGCCGTGAGCATGCGGGCCAGAGGGGGCAGCCGTGAAGACAGCGCGGGCCCCCGGGCGAGAACACACACAGCCCGGGCCCTCGCGACGCCTCGCCACGCCTCCTGTCCCGCCCCGCCCCAGGGTGAGGGGCCGGAGCTAGAGGACTACCAGAGAGAGGCCGGGCCGAAACTCCCTACACCTGCGCCCTGCGAGACAGGAAGCAAAGAGCGCCATCTTTGGTGCGGGCACCAGACAAAATCGCCAAATTCCTGCATTCTCTCGCCGATGTCGTCCTTCTGGAAAAGGAGGAGGGTTTAGCGTTGAGTTGCTTCTTTTGAAGCAGCTTCTCTAACTTACAGGCTTGATCCATTCTCAAACTGGTGTGCTTTTTTCCTGCCTCCTTCTGTCCTTCACCAGGTGTCGGTGTTTTTCCTCTCTCCTTTTGTGGCCTATTTTATCCTTATGGGAGTCAACACAATCTACGTTGTTCAGTGGCTCTATGGTCCACGAAAAGATTTTTTAAAATCGGGTAAAGGAGGAAAATTTGGCGTTTGTCACATTTTGTGCCCGAGACGGATCATCTGTGGATTTGTTGTGGCTTACACAATTTCTTCCGTTTGTTGGGTGTAGACGTGAATCACAATACATGCATGCTCTCTGATCTGACCTTCCGGGTCGGTGAACTAGAATGAGTGCTAAATTACAGTCAGGCCCCGCCCCTAACGCGCGGCGCTTCTGCTCGTTGCCCTGGCGACTGCCCGCGGGCTCCTGGGAGGAGGCTACTCCGGGCTGGGGTCGCGGTGGCCAGGTAGGTAACCTTCCCCGAGCTGCGTCGTCGTCGGTGGTCTGGATGCTTTCGGTTGCCGTTTGCGGGGAACACCACTTTCTTGGGCGGGGGACCTCTTTCCTGAAAGACCAAACTTCGAATCTACCTTGTAAAACCTTTCAACGACGAGTATATTTATTCCAGAAATGCATACTTATACAAGAATATTAAAAAATGCTTGTACTTACATACTCGTACAAGAGTATAAGATGTACTGGAGTGACTTTAATACTTGTATTCTGGAGCAGCAGAACGTAAATACATGCTTATACTTAACTACCTGTATTCTTGTATAAGAGTGCAAGAAGTAATACTTAAGAGTGTAGGCAACTAACCTAACCTAGCTGGAAGTTCTGGGTTTCCCAGGAGACGAGACCCCTCCAAACCTCAGAATCTATCATTAGAGAGTTTCCCGTGTTGAACATGTAGAAAACTTTTTAAAAAAATTATAGCATAAAGGTCCGGAGTTCCATCCCTGGTACTGCCCCCCCACCCCCAATTATAGCATACACGCAACAAAATGTGGCATTAAAGACTATGCTGTAAATTGAAAATTCATAAATTACAAAATCTCTAAAAATGTAAATTATGCATTAATTTTCTTTCATAGTTTGGTACTTTTATTAAGAACTACAAAGATGGCCATGGAATTGTGGCATTTTACATTGACTTAACTAGGAAAGATACTTAGCTCTGTTCCATTTCATAATGGAAACCAGTTCTAAATGTGAGTTAAATATTTGCACGATGATTTTGTTTAGAGGAACAACTTTTAAGATACTTGTAGAATTCTATTTTTTAAATATTTATTTTCCAGCTTTTATACCATAATTAAGCACTTCTATTTGAACTTTATCTTAGTTTATTTAACCCAGAAGCAAATCTGAGACAAAAAATTTAAGGCAGGCATTTATATGGGAGGCATTCCCAATAATCAGCATCAGGGAAGGGATAGAATTTGATAAAGGGAATATGATTGAGCTAATTTCTTTGTGGGCTGAATTCAGTAGAGAATACTGGGGCTCATATCTCCAAGCTAGCCCCTTTTAAGGAGGCAAAGAAGGTCACGCAAGTAGACGAGAGAGACACATTTGGAGGTCTGACTGGCTATACATACATACCTCGCGTGCATATGGGCAGGGCACTTGTAGCACCTACTTCATTCCACCCTTGAACTCTTCCTCAACCTTAAGGTCACACCATCCCATCACTGACTCTAAGGTCATAGTCACAATTTCTAAAAGTAAAGGACTTACAAAAAGTAGATCAGTGAGATAAGCTACAGAATCCACTACTGTAATTAACCATTGGTCTTTAATTGGCCATTCATCCATCTTCTTCTCTACCACCCAGTCTAGATTTTCCTTACCCTTGACCAGCGCTTCTGCTGGTCTGTTGTTTGCCCAGTCAGATGACCAGTTTTGATCTTGAGGAGTATAAGCCCCTGGTTACTGTGTCCTTGACAGGTTGTGGTCGCTGCAATTACTGTTCACTGGGCATGAATGCTTCAAGATGTAGCTCAGCGAGTCCCCTGAGTACAAGGTATACATCCCCCATCCTAATGATGTAGCAGCACAGCTATCTTCACCTGCTAGTGCAATAACTTCTTACAGGTATGCAGAGCCAAAATTGACCAGTTGGGATTGTGGTTTTAGGGTTAGTGAAGCCTTTAACTACCTGCTTTGATAGAACTTCTTCCAACAAAACCCCTCCTGCAAAGCATAAAGGTGTGAAAAAGGGAGGCACAGATTGCCCATGTCAATCCCAGAATGATGGAAAAAGAGGCCACTCCTACTTCCAACACTTGGCTCAAAGTATATAACTCATCTTAAAGTACACTGTCTTAATCCCACACAGTACCAAACTAATACCTTGGAAAAATCTATCTGACATTGTCAGATCAGCAGCTTCCAGGTGAAGTGGAATGTGGTAGGACCAGTGGACCTCATGTTCACATACTTCTTACCATGTCTGCTTTATTATATAAGGGTTCTTTGATCAAAGGCAATATTACATGAGATTCCATGATGATAAATGAGACATACAAAATAGTGACACTATGGATAGAGAAGATAAACTCACCCTTGAAGAACAGTTCACTTGTCCCTTACAAAGTGAAGGGTCCTGTGTAATCATTTTGTCAATTAATGATGTCCTATCTCCTCCAGGGATTGTAACACATTGAGGCTTCAACAGGTGAGTGGTTAAACAAACTGGCACATCCACACCATGGAATATGACATAATAAAAAGCAATTAATGGTATACACACCACTTATATCAGTCTCCAGAGAACTTTGCGGAACAGTCAATTCCAAAGGTTTCATACTGTCTGACTTCATATAATGTTCTTTTTTTAAAAAAATTAATTTTATTGGTACATTTTAGGTATATAATTCATTTACATTTATCATTTGGTGTTTGTACCTGTACATGATATATCTTGGTTATATAATGTTCTTGAAATAACAAAAAATACAGAACAGAGTGTTCTTCATGAATGGCCAGTTATAGTGAACAATCCATCCTTTATCCACCAGTTTGAAATGCCTCCTGTATCATGTTTTATCTTTGTGTATATGTGGTAGGTCTGGAATACCATGCGTGACCTTTCATGCAGGTGTGGACACACACACACACGTCAGATCAAAATAATTGATTATATTTGGAAATGAATGATAGCTTTGCAAAGTTAAATCTTTCCATCCAGAAATATATTATGCGTCTTCATTTATATATTTGCATCTTCTTCAGTATCTTTTAACAGAATTTCATAGTGCATATTTCTTACTAAATTTATTTGTATCATTTTAAGATTTTGTGCAATTGTGGTATTTTTTAGTATTGCTATTCTAAAATTATTGATTTAAAAAGTATCTTCACTATATAATTTTAATTATAGTATTTAATAGTTCTAATAAAATCACTTTGTTAATATTTTTAAATTTCTTCTTTAAATTTTTCCTTGATGCAGTAATATTTAGAAATGTACTGTTCTTTCCTTTTTCCTTTTTAATTTTCAAGAACTAGGAGCTTTAAAATGCTTTTATAATTATTTCAACATTGTTTTATTGTGATCAAGAGATATATCCTGTTATTTTTACTATTTATATATTATATGAATATATGTAAATATTTTATGAGTATAAATACATAGTCTACAAGAGCTTGGAAACAAGACATGATCTTTGTATAAAAACAAACAAATCAAAAAATTATTGACCAAATTTGTTTCTGATTCACTCCAACAAAACCAGAATAAGTTGAAAACCTAGTTCTTATGTTTTAAATTGGGACTCTGTGCCTAGAAATCCACTTATTAGCTCGAAATAGCAAAAGGTTTCCAAAAATAATTTTAAAATAATTGTAAAATGCTCTTACAGACAGTTATAAGTAATACAAAGTAAAAAAAAGTATAAAAATCACATTAGTTTTGGAAAATTTTTCTGCGTGGAATCAATCAAGACTTCCTAAAATAAGAAAATGTATGAATCTACAAAATTTAGCCAGTGTTACTTTTTCTGTTTCTGAAATTTCTGAAATTTATGCAGATGCATATATAATACA